TCAGGCAATCCACTCACCTCAGCCTCCCAAAGGCGTGGGATTACAGGCTGAGCCACCGAGCCCGGTTTAATGCTGGCTTTTAATGAGACTCTCAGATGTCCCCTAAATTAGCTATAGACTTGGGGACACAATATCAATAAGGATACCTGATCTCAAACCAGGCAATGTGGGGACCAAAGGGAGGCCCAAGTGTATGATGAGCACTTGTATACCTAATCCTGAATTGTACCCCACATCTTTAAAATAAAATTTACAAAAATAAATAATAATAATAAAACCATAATGATCACTTGTACCCCACAACTCTAAGATTAAAAAAAAAAAAAAGAAAAATTAGCACCCGAGCACAGTGGCTCACACTTATAATTTCAGCACTTTGGGAAGACAAGGTGAGAGGATTGCATAAGCCTATAGGTTTGAGACCAGCCTGGGCAACTTGGTGAGACCTCATCTCTACAATAAATTAAAAATTATCTGGGTGTGGTGGTACATGCTTGTAGTTCCAGCTACTTGGAAGGCCAAAGCAGAAGGATTGCCTGAGCCCAGCAGGTCGAGGCTATGGTGGCCGTGAGTGTGCCACTGCACTCCAGCCTGGGCGACGGAGACTCTAACTAAAAAAAAAAAAAATCAGACTTTAGGTTAAAAGCAAGATCATGTAAAACTTTGATATGGTGCAGTAATTTGAACTTGGGTGTGAAAGCTATGTTGAACTTTTAAGAGTGGACCTGGCTTTCTGATGCGGTTGGCAAGACTGATGGGCTGTTTGTACACAGGGGACTAGCCAGCTGATGCCTGGCTGTTTTTGCTGTCATGCTTACACCCAGCTTGCCACATATTAAGAGGGTACCTCTGGCCCTCTCTCTATGGCAGCCCCATGTAAAAAGTCACAGCACTGCTTAGGATCAGTACTCTTCTGCCTGTTGATGGAGCTGCTGTCTCTCTGGCTAGACAGGACAGACTGAGCCTTCCTTGGGAATCCATGGGTTCTCAGGATGGACACCCACGTGGGCCAGCCTGTAACCTCCCCTTTCCCCTTTTCCTCCCACTGAGCCTGGGGGAAGACAAGGGGCAAACTGGACTTTTCTGAACCTAAGGCTTACATCTAACTGTCCTCTCATGTCTCCATTGGTCTGGTCTGGCAAGTCTCTTCCCACAGTACTTTCCCAGCTGGGAAACAGAAGCTGTTTCTTCTACTTGCTTAGGCCAAAAGCCTTGGAGTCACCAATGGCTCCTTCCCTCATACCACATATCAATCCTAATCAACTCTACCTTGAAAGATGACCACCTTTTCTCACCTCAGGGCTGCCATTCTGGCAGAGCTGCCAATCATCTTCTCACCCTTGGATAATGGCAATAGACTCCCTAAATGACCTCCCTGCCTCCACCCTCACCCCTATAGTCCGTTCAGTAAGAATCTTACAAAATTTAAGTCAAACTACAACACTCCTCTGCTCAAAACCTTCCAATAATGTCCTGTTTCCCCAGAGTCCTTGCAACAGCCTAAAAGACTCAACAGCACGATGCCCGTGCTCATCACCCCTCTGACATTATCTCCCACCTTCTCTCCCGCTCCAGCCACTGATGTTTCCACAAACTGTCCTGCCTTGTGGCTTCGAAACTGTTGCTCCAAGGTACCCATACAATTCGCCTCCTCACCTCTTTCTGGTCTTTACTCGAATGTTCCCTTTTCAGCAAAGCCTGCCCACTTACAACTGCAGACTTCCCCCCATTTTCCGTTTCCCCATGGCAACATATGTTTCTCTGTCGGGCTGTTTGCCATATGCTCCCTGCACTGCAATGTAAGCCCCATGAGGGAGGGATCAGTCTGTGTTGACTGCTGCACCCCCAGTGCCTAAAGCAGTGCCAGACACACAGTGTGGTTAACTAGAGCTTGCTCTTGTGGCTTTCACAACTGACTAATGTGTGTTATCTATGTGAGGACCAAGTCAAAGAGTGGATAAACCAAGTGTGATAGGTTCTATCTACCTTTGGAGCTAAGGCATTTTCTTTTTTTTTTTTTGAGTTGGAACCTCACTCTGTCGCTCAGGCTGGAGTGCAGTGGCACACTCATGGCTACCCCAGTGTCGACCCATTGGGCTCTGGCGATCCTTCCGCCTCAGCCTTCCAAGTAGCTGAAACCACAAGTGCACGCCACTACACCCGGCTAATTTTTTGATTTATTGTAGAGACGAGATCTCGCCAAGTTGCCCAGGCTGGTCTCAAATCCACAGGCTCAGGCAATTCACTTGCCTTGGCCTCCCAAAGTGCTGGGATTACAGGCTGAGCCACTGAGCCCAGCCGGCATTTGCTTTCAACTAAACATTTCTGCTCAGTAGACTACTGGAACTCAAACTCTAAAATGTATCAGCACCCACTGGGGGCTTGCTGAAGGTTACTGGGTTCTGTCCCTGAGTTTCTGAATCAGCAGGTCTAGAGTGGAGCCTTTCTAACATGTTTCTGGCAGTGCTAATTCCCTTGGTATGGCGACCACCCTTTCAGAACCATTGCCCCAACCTCTTTTTTTTTTTGAGTTGGAGTCTCACTCTGTCACCCAGACTGGAGTGCAGTAGCCGCTCCTGGCCACCGCAGCCTCGACCTGCTGGGCTCCGGCGATCCTTCCACCTCAGCCTTCCAAGTGCCCCAACCTCTTAATGACCTAATGGCAGGGCCAAGTCTGTTAGCTTGCTGCTACATCCCCAAAGCATGGCAAATCCCAGAAGCTCCAGAAATATCTTCTGACTGAATGACACTCCTAGAATTAAGAGTTTAAGCACTAGATGGGCAATACAGGTGGCCTCTGAGTCCCAGAAGTTAAGGGTAGAATCCAGTCTTTTAAATTCCTCATCCTCTGAGAGGAGGGCTCCTGGTACTCACACAACAGAGCCAGGACAGCCCCCAGGACTGGGAGGATGAAACCTCCCTTCCAGGGTTGAGGGCAGGTTTCCACATGGCCGTGGCAGTCACACACGGTGGCCCTGATCACCGTCAGCTGCTCCTTGTTGCCATGGTCAGACAGAGAAAGGTACACATCATATGTGTCTTGTTTCAGGAACTTCTTCAGGGACAAGGCCACTGTGTCACCTGCAAAGGACAGATCATTTATTAGCTGAGAGATACCATCTGTGGTGGGAGCTGAGGACACCATGATGCAGGTTTGAGAAAATAGCCTCTACATCTGGGCAACAGGGAAAAATAGTCTACAAGCACACTTGGGCTATGTATGAGAAACCGATATTTGGCTAAAACAAAATTTACTGTCATGTTCATGTTCAAATTAATTATTGGGATGTGAAAAAAAATTATCATCATAGAAAAGATCACTAGCATAGAAAATTAATTCACCATTTATTTTTATTTTTTGAGTTGGAGTCTCACTCTGTTACCCAGGCTGGAGGGCAGTGGCATGCTGATGGCCACCGCAGCCTTGACCCACTGGGCTCAGGCGATCCATCTGCCTCAGCCTTCCAAGTAGCGGGAACTACAAGCATGTGCCACCATGCCTAGCTAATTTTTTGATTTATTGCCGGGAGCCGCAATCACTAGTAAAAGTAAGGTAAAAGGGACCTGACAACAGGAAAAACACTGGCTGGGAGCAAGGCCCCAGTAAAATGCGGCCATGACGGAGGCAAAGCCCCATGGATCCTGTTGACGGACCTTCCCTAACTTTGAAGGATTGCGTGCATAGGCTTGAGAATATTCCCTCTTTAATTGAGATAATAGATGCGCAAATGGATGATGGCATTTGACAGCAAAAATTATACATAGGCATAATGGAGGTG